AGTGAGTTAATTTTATACATTTCAAAGCCTGTTTAATGACATCTTTAAAATGTGTCTGCTTCAAAGGGCTGTTTTGTCAATCATTGACCATGTTTTTAAGTTTGTGGATGTGACTTTACACTTAAAATGGCATGACATGATGGAATTACATGGTAAAACTGAAAAAAAACTCAATGTTTATGATGATATTATTGAAGTCATAATTAAAGCACTTGTAAAACACTTCTGTCCCTGTAATGTTGCAAGTTTTTTTGTGTATTGTATTGGAGATCCAGTACTCTTAAATCACCTTAGTCTTGGTAATACACCATCTCGTCAGGTTTGTGTGTGTGTGTGGGCATGTACCAGTAAAACACACTCGTCCTTATAATGTTGGATTGTGCAGTTGTGTATTGTGTTTAAGATCCAGTACTCTTAAATCACCTTAGTCTTGGTAATACACCCTCTCGTCAGGTTTGTGTGTGTGTGTGGGCATGTACCAGTAAAACACATAGGTCCCTGTAATCCACCGAAATGACATATTTTGTGTATTGTAAAATGAGTGTCCTCATAATCAGGTCGGGCCCCATAAATCACAATTATGTCATAGGCGGGAACATTTTAGGAGGGGGCGGGAATGTCCTTGTATACCACCATTTTTATATTTTCTGTTCTGTTGTGTGTATAGAACATTTGAAGTCAGATTTGTGATCTGCAGATCAAAACAAAATTTTTGATAGTTGTATCATCACTGTAGGGCATTGGGAAAGGTGTGTCCCTATATACCACCACCACACCGGTGCGACCTTCTATACCACAAAAACAAGTATGTGTGTGTGTGTGTGTGTGTGTGTGTGTGTGTGTGTGTGTGTGTTTGGTATACTTGTGAGGACCAAATGAACCCACAAGGACAGTAAAAGTTGAGTGTGAGTTTGTGTGTGTGTGTGTTTTTTTGTGTGTATGTGTGTGTGTTTGGTATACTTGTGAGGACCAAATGAACCCACAAGGATAGTAAAAGTTGAGTGTGTGTGTTTGTGTGTGTGTTTGGTATACTTGTGAGGACCAAATGAACCCACAAGGACAGTAAAGTTGAGTTTGTGTTTTTGTGTGTGTTTTTGTGTGTGTGTGTGTGTGTGTGTGTGTGTGTTTGGTATACTTGTGAGGACCAAATGAACCCACAAGGACAGTAAAAGTTGAGTGTGAGTTTTTGTGTGTGTGTGTGTGTGTTTGGTATACTTTTGAGGACCTAATGAACCCACAAGGATAGTAAAAGTTGAATGTGAGTTTGTGTGTGTGTTTTTTGTGTGTGTGTGTGTGTGTGTGTGTGTGTGTGTGTGTGTTTGGTATATTTGTGAGGACCAAATGAACCCACAAGGACAGTAAAAGTTGAATGTGAGTTTGTGTGTGTGTTTTTTTGTGTGTGTTATGCATTTGAGGACCAAATGACCCCACAAGGATAGTAAAAGTCGAGATTCCCAACCTTATGAGGACTTTTTGTGTGCGAGTTTTTTCTTGTGTTTTTTTTTTTTTGTGTGTGTGTGATTGTGCATGTGTGCGTGTGTGTGAGGACTAAATGACCCCACTAGGATAGTAAAAGTTGAGATTCCCTACTTTGTGAGGACATTTTGTGTGTGATTTTTTTCTTGTATTATTTTTATAGTTTATGTGAGTGAGTGTGTGTGTGTGTACCTTGAGCTCCAGGGCTTTGTCTATGATGTGGTGGGCCACTCGGAGCAGGTCTCTGAACTGCAGTGTCTCTAGAGTGGTTCCTCTGGGCAGAGAGATGAGCCGGAACAGATCCAGCCAGTGTTCCTGAGAGAGGTGCTCACCGCGCACGTACTTCAACACTGGAACTACGGCCTAAAACACACACACACACACACACACCGCTTTAAAACTTAATCTGCCCATCTACAAGTATATACAATTATTATACCAATAAACAAGAATCATAACAAGTCATATAATCTGAAGTAGCCCTAGTCGGACAGTACTTGTTTCTCGAGGGGACGTCAGGTATTTTCAGCATCAACAGGAGTCGGTCAGTGATTGCAGAATGTCATGTTTAACCCTCTGGGGTTGTTCGGCCCAAATGGACCCGAAGAATTTAAATAAATTTTTTTTTAAAAATCACAGTTTCCTCGGAATGGTCCAAAATTTGGTGACTTTGTTGGTATTTGGTATTTGAACACCCAAAAAAAATTGGGGACAGGATGTGAATAGTCTAAGTGGTTGTAAAAAAAATAGTCACACTTGGGGTGTTCGGGTCCAAATGGACCCGCATGGAAAATAAATGGGAAATTGGCAAAAATGTGAAAATACTGATTTTTTTTGTGCGTACAATCTACAAATCAGCCACGATCTTGAAAAAAAAGCACACAACAGTGAAGGGGTGAATCTATAAAACATCTAGAGTGCAAAACAGACACATCCACACGCACACTTTTATACACAAACACACCAAAAAATTCAGATTATACATGTGTTTTGCATTTTTAAAATGCTCAGTTTGTCCACCAGATGGCATCCATCTCATTTCAAAAATTGCTTTTATGAGGCCTAGGCTTGACTCTAAAATGAAATGCAGCTTTAAAAAAACAATTAAAAAAATATATATTTTTTAAAATATTTTTTTTATTATGTTCAATGGGGGGAAATTTTGTCATAATTATTGCATTAATACTAATTATAAAAAAAATTTTTTTTTGAAATTTTCTCAAAACACCAAAAAAGAAAAGAAAAAATCATGATTTTTTTTTTTAAATATGAATCCCGCCCTTTGGGTCCATTTGGACCCGAACACCCCGAGTGTGACTCTGAAACGAACAACCCCAGAGGGTTAAATGACTTACTTTATTTTTTTTGTCAAAGACTGATGTTATGTGGTAATGATCAATCCAGAAGTTGTTTTGTAAATCATTTTTGACCACTGCCTGTAACAGCTGTGCGTCGCGGTAATGTCCACGCAATTTAATTATGGGCACTTTTATTACCGAAATACTGGAAACTGTTTAAACAAACAATATTACATCACCGCTTCATTAAAGTGGTACAGTAATACCATTATTGTTATTTAATACACAGCCTACATTTAAAGAAATGATGGCTTGCACAAGTCAAATAAGCAGCAAGGACAAATGATTATCTTAAATTAATAAGAGAGTGCCTTAGCTTAAAATATCAAATAATAAATTGCATATTATTTTCCTATTATTAAATTAAATATAAATGTATTAATTGAAAAAAAAACTAACAGACATTTTGTTTACATCTGCCAAATGCCTTGCATTTTATGCTAATTTATTTTACACAGACGTCCCCATGAGAAACACTTACTCTAAATAAACATCTGAACTTTAATAGTAAACATAATTCTAAACTGCAGCTTTTGACCAAACTCTGAGAAAGCCGTTAATTGAAACGAACCATCCAAATGAATTTGAACTACTTGAGAGAGAAATTAAATAATAAATTAGCTATAGAAAGTAGTATTTTTAAACATGCTACTGAAAATGCAGGCTTTGCAAAATGAGCAGAATCACTAATTTTAGCAATTCCATACAGGAACAAACCCTTCAAATGACCTGAGCATGACCCGCCCAACACGTACAACAGAATTTCCAAGTAAATAACCAGAATAATCCACCCATGTGACCTTATATCTGTCCACTTCCTTCTGCAATTTGACGGACATGCTGGTTTGCTCCTCCAGCTTCCTCAGTCGGTCGTGCCACGAGAACAAAAACTCCTCGAACACGTGGGTCTTACTCCTGCAGGGAAAACACACACACACACACAGAGTTTGTTTCGCACACAAAGGCTCTGAAAGTCCATGTAGGAATTTCTGAGAAGTTTCAGTGATTGCGACCTGAAGGAAATCCAGTCCTGCTGTGCGTTTCCATCCAGTCCCTGCTGAAACTCCTCGTACAGTTCCCACATCTCCGAACACTCCTTCAGATCCCTCAGCGTGTCGGAAGCCAGAGACGCGTCAGGAGAGCTCAGCTGAAAGTGTTCGCAGTCCTCCCTAGTACGACACACACAAACACACACACACCATTTCAGAGGCGTTCATCTGCGTTTGTTTTTAATTGCACTAAGTTATATACATATGTGACCCTGGACCACAAACCCAGTCACATGACGCACGAGCCAACAACAATTGTATGGGTCTAAATTATCCATTTTCCTTTTATGCCAAAAATCATTAGGATATTAAGTAAAGATCATGTTCCATGAAGATATTTAGTAAATTTCGAACTGTAAATATATAAAACATGTGTTTGTGTGAGTGAATGCAGCACAATCGAGAACATAAATGCACAAGGCAAGGCAAGGCATGGCCCTTAATCATATAATTGTGGACAAATGTGGGCACAGAGGACTTTTTATTTATTATAAATGTTATATCACTGTCTTCGATAAAGTTTTGTCTATCCATTTATGGTGTTTTTTTATTTAATTTGAATTTATTTACTTCAAAAAGTACCATATTTTCTATGTAAATTATGGTTATTTTTATGTTTTATTTTAAAAAATTTTTTAACTACATTAAAATATCATTCCAATAAGTTCTTAGAGCTAAAACCTAAAGATGAAGTGACTTTGCTGTCACCTGGTGTCTTATTTTGGCTTATTTTAGATTACAGTTTTTCCCATTCATTTCTATGGGTGCCCATTTTTGACCCAAATACAAGATTAAGGAGTTTTTTTTTCACCCACTAAACATTGTAGAATTGAGTCAAAAAAATGTGTGTGTTTAGGAGGCAAACTTAGGAAAAGTAGCCAAGTCTTGTACCGCTCAGATCAAGGGAAGTATTTTTTAAAAATAAATCAAAACTATTTTCCACACATTTGTCCAAAATAGGAGATTTTCACAATGTTTTATTGTTGTTGTTTTTTTGCACCCTCAGATTCTAGATTTTCAAATAGTTATACATCTTCCAAATATTGTCCAATCCTTATTAATTCAGCTTTCAGATGATGTATAAATCTCAATTTCAAAAATGTGTTCCAGGGTCACATATATTTTTATATTTATTCATTTTTACACATGGTTTGGATTTGTTTTTTTAGGTATCGCTTGTAGCAGATTCTAATTAATGTGTATTCCGTGCACATTGTGTTATACATGGCCTTGTTAATCGCCCATGGGGACAAATAAAGTGTTTTTTGAATTGAATTGAAGTGCGTGCGAGAGCAGAAGTAAAGTCACACACGTGAGTTTTGTGCGCGTGTTCTCCAGCTCGTCGAACTCGGCTCGTCGGTCCCGGATGTTCTGGACGCAGCGCTGCAGAGCCTCGTGGTCACCTGACTCGATGATGTCATGCCCGGGTTTGAGCTGGTCCCAGCGAGCTCTGAACTTCTGCAGGTCCTGCAGGTAAACCTGAACCCGCGACTCCACGTTCCCTTTCATCACCTCCACCTGAGAAACACGGTGTGTTTACAGCCTCACATTCACAACAATACAACACCTCGAAAACTGATGAGTGATCTGAGCCGGTCCTTTAAACTGAATCACTGAATTGACTCAATTCAGGTGTAGGTGTCATCTTAATCAAAACCGTCTTCTTGTTCACGACAGCGTTATTTTAGTATCATTAATACACTATCGTTGTATTTATTTATGCTTTCAATTAGTTTTTATTTTAATATTTTCCTTTTTTTTTCATTTCTGTTGTGCGTTTGGTTTGGTATTATTTGTAAAATGCCTTTTTATTTATTTATATTTCAGTTTTCGTTTTAGTAATTTTAACTCTTTTGTTATATTTACAATGTTTATCTTTTATTTTAATGAATTTAGTTTTAGTAATTTGAGTACTTCAACTCAATGAAAATTGAATTTTGCCTTGGAATTAAAAAAAGTTTAAAATAAATAAGCAAAAAAACATTTTTATGTATATTTTATTTGATTTCTGTTAACATTTATATTTGATTTCTGTTAACATATTAACTCTTTTGTTATATTTACAATGTTTATCTTTTATTTTAATGATGTAGTTTAAGTAATTTGAGTACTTCAACTCAATGAAAATTGAATTTTGCCTTGGAAATAAAAGTATAAAATAAATAAGCAAAAAAAACATTTTTATATACGTTTCATTTGATTTCTGTTAACATTTATATTAGTTTTAGTTAACAATAACACTGAAACAGTATTTTATTGTATACATATTGTAAATTAAAAAAGGCAAAAATTTCTCTTTCAAAAAATTCTACTGATATTGTGTAGTTTTCATTTTAATTTGAGTGTGTTTTAGTAGTTTTCGTTATTATTATATTTTAAATATGACTTTTTAATTTTCATTCATTTTTATTTCAGTTTGAGTTTCAGAAATTTGAGTATGTCAACTAAATTAGAATGTAAAAATTTGGCACGAAAACTAACTGAAATAAAATAAGTTATTTTTTATATTTTATTTAACTTCTGTTAACATCTATTTTAACGATAACAACACTGGTTTATGACATCTTGCAGTTAAAGGCACAAGATTGTGTCTAACAATTTATTGAATTAAAAAAAAAAAGACAAATATGGTTGCAAGATTCTATTAGTTTATGGAATTCTATTAATTTATGGGATTCTATTAATTATGGAAAATTGTACGAAACAGTGTGTGTGTGTGTGTATGAGGTGTGTTTGTACTTGTTCTTTAATCATGAGCTGATGACTCTCCATCATGAGCTCAAATTTGTCCCATTTGGCTCTCAGGGAGCTGATGGTGTCCAGACCTCCACCCGCCACGGAGCGCAAAAGCCTGTTCTTCTCCTCCGCCTGCTGGAACTGAGGCAGTATCTGCACACAACATCAGTACAGCATTTACACACACACCACATATCAGCACAGCAGAATATCTTTACACACACTCATGAAGAGTGAAGCAGTGATCCAGCAGTGAATGTGGTGTTTATGGGGATGTACCTCAGGTTTCTGGGACTGTAATTGGCTGTGTTTGGCATCAGCCTCTCCAATCTCATCGATGCTCTCAGGACGCGAGGACAACGTCTCCATTGCACCGCTCACGAATGAATCAATAACCTGAATGTGACCTGCACACAGTTTTACACAGGTGAACACACACTGTGCAAACACGACCAGCAGAGGTCAGTGTTGGACCATCTGATCTCATGAACACCACTGGAAAGATCTGTCTGTTATAGGAAGTGCTTGCCTTGGTTAGATCTGAACAACTAGTTTTGCACCTAATATTTATTCAATCATATTTTATTTGACATTAGCTTTGTTTCAGTTTTTAATAGTTTTAGTTAACAATAAAAACACTGGTTTGTAGGATGCACACTTTGGGGCGGTTTCCCCGGACAGAGATTAAGCCTATAGTCCTAGAATAAAACGGCCCTTTAAACCTGATTAACAAAAATCTGCTTTCTATGTCATGGCTTTAATAGTCCTAGATTTAGTTTAATCCAGAGTTTAATAAGCCGATTTCCTGGAGGACGACTACAGTTACTCCAGGACTAAATTGAGTCTTAAATTAAACCTACCAGGAGGCAGGTTTAACTTCAGATTAACTTTGTGTTTCAAAGAAAACACCTGCATTACTTGGATACACACACATTCAGTACATATATTAATATATCATTTAATTATGTTTTAATTGTATGGGGTTTCTTGTTAAAATGTGATTAGTTCATGTTAAACTAACTTGAAATGGTCACTTAACTTTGACTTCACTTGATGTTTTAATTATCTAGTAACCTATACATGACATTCACTTCCCATCATGCTTTGCACAGGGCTGAAATGTAAATTTTGAAATAAAGTGATATTTTATGCAATTATTTTATTAAGATGAGAAAACAGAGAGAATGTTTAATGTTCTATTATTATGTTGTTATTTAAACGTTTATGTTATGTTAGTGTTTTTGGGGGTTACCGTTTTGGTGAAGCCTTGGATCGAGGACCTGCTACAAAAATTCAAGCTGTATAATTAATAAAGCAACCCCTGGGTACTACTCTAGTTGAAAGTATTGCTTCTAGACTGTCAACACCGAACCCCACATGTGTAAAGTAATGTTTTAGTAAGTTTGTTATGTAAATCACAGGAATAAACAAGAAGCATTAATTATAGCATATGAGTTGTTTGAATAATTCATTTTAAATGAAAACCATTCTTTAAAGAACATCATTGATTCTAGTTGTACATCGTTGATTTTACATGTATATGTATTTTGTTATATACATATACACAAACAAATTTCCGGCATTTCTTCTCTTTTATTCCATAGCTGGTGTGTGCAGATTATTTAGCTTGCATAAAAATAATTTTCTCTTGTTAGTTTATGTTTTTTGATTGCAATCTTTTTCTGATGCCATTGTTTTCCTTGGATTTGCTTCTCAGTTCCATGCAATTTTAAGCTTTTCTTGGTTCATTCCGTGTTTTATAGGCAACCTCTGTCATCATGCTAATTCAGATTAGCACAGTTGGTTTTAATTTAATCTGATTTATTTTAGTTCAGGACTCCATAGTCCAAGTGTAACTAATCTGTACTTAATCTGTGTTACAAAAAGCCATTTTTTAAGACACGATTAAGTTTTCTAGATTAAGGCCTACTCCAGGCTTAATTTAAACCCTCTCCGGGAAACCGGCCCTTTGACTTCTAATTGAGGAAAAACTTATTTGTGGTGTTTTCCCTGCTTAAAATTGGACATTATAACAATAAACATTTTCATTAATTTTTTTACTTTAAAGTTCTTGAAAATACTTCTTTATTAATAAGGACTTTATGAATTCCCTCCCTGGCGCCGTATGGATTACTTTTATGATGGATGGATGTGCTTTTTTGGACTTCATTCATTGCCATTATAAAGCTGAATATTTTTAAACATAACAATATAACTCAGATTAAAGAAGGAAGTCATATAGACCATTTCACAAGATGTAAACAACACTGGTCCAGAAGCACTTCCTGTTTCAGTTTGTAACTGTTTTCTTTATTTCACATGTAAAGAAAACATCTTAAAGATGTTTGTTTAACTTTTTGATTCAGTTTTGAATGTTCTGTAGGTTGTATTTTGTCCCAGCTTTTATGTAGTGTTAAAAAACTGAAACAGGAAGTGCTTCTGGACCAGTGTTGTTTACATCTTGTGAAATGGTCTATACACCTAGGATGTCTTGAGGTTGAGTAAATCATGGGCTAACTTTCATTTTTGGGTGACCTGCCCCTTTAAAATCTGTGAATATCTGATCTCACCCTGGATGGATCTCCTCAGGGACGTCAGGAGAGCGTCAAACAACTTCTGGATGAGATCGTCCACAGCTACTCTGACAGGTTCACAGTTCACCGTGATGCAGTCAACCTTCTCTGTGCTATACACAAACACACACACGCAGTGTTAAATGCAGCACTGATTATCAAACACACAGTTTATACACACGCCAAAACAGTATGACCAGTCTCAGGTGAAGCCACGGTTCTCTCCCAACAAGGCCACATATTAAGGTCTGGGTAGTCAGCAAAGTATCAGATCTCGTGATCGAGCCAGAACGTTATGGCAAGACGAATAGGTCCAAAACTCAAGGCTTGTGTGTCGCGCCGGTCAGCAGTGCGGTGTCCGAGGAGGAACACACACAAACTGGCGACAGGTTTGATGCAGGCTATCCCGTCTGATCCACTCAAAACTTTAATGCTGGTCACAACACACACTGCATCACACTCGCCGTCTAGCTGTGCCCTGTTTACCTGGGGAACATTGACAAGCCGGTGGAGGGAATGTGACGCTCTGGGAAAGCCGCTAGTGTTGCACGATATACCGGTACTAGAAATGTATCGCGATACCCTGCTATTACTAACGGTACGATGCTAATTTTATTAGTACCGGTACTTTAAGAGTCACAGCACTCTAATAAGAGCAATAATTCTTTATTTCCATCAATGTGTGACAGCTGGAGTCAGGACGTTTACATTCACTAATGGGAGCAGAACAGTCGCAGGGTACGTGCATGTGTTAAAGCCTAATGTTCTGTGTGATTAATGTTAATCAAATCACCCAATGCTTGACTGAATACATTTGATCTATTTATTAAGAATCAGTCTATAGCTCATTTTCAGAGTCACAGTAGCATTCAAAAAAGAAGTTTTGTTTATTTGTATCTTATAGTATTTGTCATATTGTTTGTAATTTTCTTTTTGGCTTATTTTTAATAGCAATAAATAATATAAAATTTAAAATGTATCTATATTGTAAACCAAAAAATATTAAATGACTCATCTCATGGTCATCACAACATGTCCAGAATTGTGAAAGGTTAACGAATGTTAACATGATTGATAATAATGTCAATGTTGCAAACATCTCTGTAAGGATGTACACACTGGCATGTGATTATTATTATTTTTTATTTAATAAAGGGGAAGGAATGGTCTAAAAGCAGGGCAGGATCATGCTGGTCAAGTGAGTTTTTATTTTAAGTTAACATACCAGATACAAATCAAAGCTCACTGAACTATATACAAACAGGTGCCATGAAAACTCTCCACATATATATATATATATATATATATATATATATATATATATAAATAAATAAAAAATATATAAAAAAAATATATAATAATAGTAACAATAATATATATATATATATATATATATATATATATATATATGAAGAGTTCAGATGCAAAAGCCTCTAAGTGCCATTTGAAATTTTCTTCTAAAATTACCATTTTTATTAAGCTTGTATATTTAAGTTCAGTAATTTCACTTAAATGGCAATTAATAAGTAATCTTCATAGCCATTTAAGTGAAATTACTAAACTTAAATATACAAGCTTTATAAAAATGATCATTTTAGAAGAAAATTTCAAATGGCATTTAGAGGCTTTTGCATCTGAACTCTTCATATTTATATATATATATATATATATAAGAAATAACAGAGAGAGAGAGATATAGGATGTCAAAATGAGTTTTTAAGTTTTTTTAAGTTCAGTCAGTTCTGTCATATTTTTCAATTACTTTTACTTTTCTTCCCGTAGTATCGATCCAGTATCGGTTTTGGGGTATTTTTGCCTGGTATCGTATCGAAGTACCATAATTTTGGTATCGCCATTCATGTGGATGTCACTTTGACACGTAGCACATACTAAACATTGTTGCAGGTGTTCCTGGTGGAAGTGGCTCTCTGCCACACTGCACACACTGATCAGGAATGCTTTGAGGAACATGATGAAGAGTTAAGGTTTCGCTCTGGCCTTGAGAACCTGTGGGATGTGCTGGACCAACAAGTTTGATCTAAAACACAACCTACAGGACTTGGTGCTGGAGACCAAAGGACACCTTCAGGGCTCTTTTAGAGTCCATGTTTTGGCATGATCACACACACACACACACACACACACACACACATACCTGGGCAGCCGCTCGGCTTCTTTTCCTTTGGCTTTAAGAGCTTTGAAGTTTCTCTCCCAGTCCTGGACACTGTGAAGGTGTTTCTCCACCAGAACATCTACATCCACCTGTCCCAGAACCACCCAGTCCTGAACACAGACAAACACTTTTAGAAATCACAATCAAATAATCCCCCATGCATACATCTTAATGTCTTAGATTTGTTCTTATCTGGCATAATTTTAGTAACAAACCCTCTCGTCTGTTATGAGTACGTTAAAAATCAAATCGGTTGGTCAGGGAAACGCTAAATGTAAAAAGGAACAAGTGACTATCCATTTAAATATGTATAGTTAACACAGCTTAATGTCAAAGGTCATGCATTCCAAACAAACTCTTAATTTGAGTATTTTTGTTATGTGCTTAGCATGTTTTTATTACTATTTCCACTTAGCTTGAATTTATTCTGTTTCATTTAAAGTTTTAGTAAGTTTAGTACTTTCAAAATGTCAATTCAATTAACGAAAATAGTGGTTTAAAAATAGTGGTTTAGTAAACAAATAACAACACTGCTCCAAGCAAAGAGAGCAAAACCATCAAAAACACATTTAGAAACTAAAATCTGCTTATGTTATCATTTTGCATATTGATTGTGATATAAAAGCATTTCTAAATTTGACATATTTTGTGCAATAAATATATACAAAAGAATTATACCTATTCATTCAGAAACTAAACTCATATATTGTAGATCATTATGTGTTTCTTTGGAAATCTCAAAATCGCAAACCTTCCCTTTTGTTATAAGCCACATAAAAAACTCCAATCGAGCAAAACTGAAATAAGCCCTCATGCGAAAGCTTTCATTGGGCCGCTTTCTTAGGAAGTGATGAAATGAGCAAAACGCTGAGCTGTCATTTCAGATTTGCAATGAACACGCTACTTAATAATTTTGCATACAGTAGGCAACTTGTGCAAGTTAATGAAAGCATGATGAAGGCTCATTGAGCTAATTAAAGCAGCACCTGCTCATTGATCGGACATCTGCTGTCAGCAGACACACAGATCTCAGACTGAACGACTCGAACGAGGTTTCCCAGTCATGCTGCTAAAGAGGAAGCGTTCAGGCCGTTTCCCCTCTGTGTGGGCGGCAGGAATCAGAAGTGAGTTTGTGAGCGAGTGGGCTGGGATTCCCCTTGACAGTATTAAAGCATCACAAGAACCTTTGGTAGTGTTCTCCGGTCTAAACCACAATTGAAAGCGGCATTTCAAGAATGGACGTTTGTAAATGCAAAAACACAATAGATGCTAGCACTTGTTATATCCTAAAAAACAAAACTAGTGCACTGATCTAGGCAGCATTTCGGGCATCATGGACGCATTCAACATATCTAGGAAGGCAGTTTACTGGGTTTTAAGCAACAGGTAATGTCTAATTAACAGGGGATCTGGTTGGACGTGTGTGTGGGTGGGTGTTCACGGTGTTTTCTAGAACATCACTTTAAAAGTGACCTCAGTTCATGACATTTATGTGCCGAAATTCCCTTCGTGTTCTAATATTCTAATATAATTGGAATCCACCATGCGTGAATTATTTGTCCAAAACTTAATTTATAATCGACGTTTCCCTCAACTAACACTTTTAAGAGAATTTTGCACCGTATTCTGGGATTTTCACTGTATTCGGGGTATATTGGGGGTCCATTAATTGAAAGAAGTGTCTTACACTCAATGTTCAGCATCATTACTCTATTCTTCAGTGTCACATGATCCTTCAGAAATCACTCTAATATGATGATTTGCAGCTCAAGACACTTTTATGATTATTATCAGTGTTGAAAACCGTTAAAAATTACGTTTAATGATATGATGTTTAGGGCCCTATAAAATATAAATTCTGTTTTATTTTTTCCCAAATTCCGTTTTTTCCGTTTTAATTTTTGGGAATTCAGTTGTTGTTTTTTACCCTTTACTGTTATTTTAGTTGTAAAAAGAGCTTTTAATGTTAATGATTAAAATGTACACAAATAAAATAGGCATTTACTCTTAAAATGACAAATACTGCATGATGCAACAATTTTCACAATTTTTCACAATTTTCACAATTTATTTCACAATAACTCAGTACATAACATAACACTGTTATGTACTGAGTTATTGTGCATAACACTGCACTCTAAGTACTTCAAGGAACTAGAAAATATGGTTATGAGCTTTAAACTGTCCTGTAAAAATAAATGATATTAGTTTATATAAGTTAAAATAAAAGTCACACTCTAGCTGCGTCGTAATCTGTGCATACTATCCATCCTAAATAGTATGTGACATTAGTAACTGTCAATACTATTTCGGGCATAGTATGCTATGCACATTGGGACGCAGCTTCTGTCTCTCGAGACATACGTTCTTCTCCCACAAAAACCGAATTTCATTCCAAATATGTAAAATTCCGCGTTAATACTAGATTCCGCGTTAATTGGCCAATTCCGCGATTCCGTCCGCGATTCCGTGATCGCGGAAATTATAGGGCCCTAGATGTTGCCTTTGTTTTTGTTCAAAATCAGCTAAAACCTTAATTGGAACGGCCTTCTCATTAGTGCATCAATGACGGTACCTAGTTTGACAGCTCACTAGGGTTTGAAACGCAGTGTGCGCTACCTTAAACTTGTCCAGCAGTTGTGTGAGTCGACTGAAGAGGAGTTCAGCTTTGCTGAAGATGGTCAGGAAGCCGCTGGCGTTGCGTTCGATCATGCAGGTGAATATGGGCTCCTCTCCCGTCTCGCTCACGCCCCTAAACTGGTTGGGGATGCAGATGAACCGCTTCATCTCGCGGTAATATTTTGCCCTGACCTCTTCGAATGCAGGACGGAACTGCAGCCGGCCCTGCCTGGAGAAACACAAGTAGGTAATTGAGTGTTTTTGGCTGGGTTTTTGAGTGAACTAGTCCTTTAAAACACATCAAGAGGAAAGGGCTCTGACTTGAAGATGAGGTCGATGTTAATCTCCGGCAGGTTCTTGTTGAGGGCCTCCAGTCCCACCTGATACTGATGCTCTAGAGCTTTATACAGCTGATGGTTCCAGTGCTGACGCCAGGCCCTCATGTCTCCTGGACGAATCCCCTGAACACACACACACACACAAAGAGTTCTGCATCCAGAAAGCATTTTTGCACTATTATGCCACCAACCTGGTTTTCTAAAAAAAATCATGCCAAGGTTTGACAAAAGTTGACAAAAGATGACTATAGCTGATGGTTTAATTATTGAAAAATGAAGATATTAAGAGAGTTGTACTGTAAAATGTATCATACATATATAATATGAATTTGAAAATTAAAATATGATTGAATATAATTGAACATAAGTAATATGATTTTTGCTAAATATATATATATATATATATATATATTAGTGCTGTCAAACAATTAAAATATTTATTTGCGATTAATTGCATTAATGTCATAGTTAACTCACAATTAATCACACATTTTTATCTATTCTAAATGTCTCTTGATTTCTTTGTGTCCCATTATAATTGTTTTTCTCATTTTAATGCTCTTATCAACATGTAAAAGTGAATCGGCTTGCTTATTGCAAATGTTTTTGTTATTGAAAACAATATTAGCATATACTGTGTTCAATTTCACACTAACATTCTCACTTGGAGCAAATAATCTCTCACACAATGTAACACCGTCTATCAATAAAAGCGTGAAAGAAACACTGACGAGGTCCTGATATTGACGAGGGGGCGGAGAATTCACATCAAGTCAAGTCAAGTCAAGTCACATTTATTTATATAGCGCTTTTCACAATACAGATTGTATCAAAGCAGCTTCACAGTGATAACATGAAAGTAGTACAACACAGATCAATAATATTGTTAAATATTAAATATCCCCAACTAAGCAAGCCAAAAGATTGGATGGAGAAAAAAACCTTGGGAGAACCCAGGCTCAGTCGGGGGCCATATTGTTTATATATAAATATTAAATATAAATATTCAGATGTGAGTGTGTGTGCTTGGCCATCAGCTGGTGTTTCAGACTGGACGTGCTGCGATGATGATAGCTCAGTTCACAACGACAAAACACACAGATCACTTTGGTCTTGTCAATGGAACTATTTGGCAACTTTTTAAAAGTAAACTTTCCATTCAGGATCTTATTGGCGTCCATTTCGGCGTCTCGCGCTCGTCGTCCACTCAAAACGTAACGTTAACCAACTATTTGGCGGCTCACAAGCCTAAACAAGTGTGTGTGGCGAGCCTGTTGTTTAGTTTCCGGTCTAGCTAGATCCACTTGCGCCTTGGTCGACGAAGCAACAAAAAGTCCTCTTGCGGCGCAAGCCGTTGAAATGAATGGTTTCATAGCGCAGCGCCGTCCTGTTGCAAAAGCAAGTGAACAAAAATTTTACAAAGTTTGCTTGGCCAAAAAGACCGTTAATCGCGCGATAAAAAAATTAACGCCGTTAAAATGGTTTTGCGTTAACGCCGTTAATAGCTTGTTTTCACGAGATGTCACGCCACTGTGTTGCCATGGCACGAAATGCAGATGGAGGGCAGGAAGTGATTTTCTATATTTAGGAAGCACTAAAACACACTCAAAATGCCTATGTTTTGCGTCGTTTATGGTTGCTCAAATCGATCAAACCACGAGGAGTTTTTATCGTGTGCCAAAAGTTGTGTGTAGGGTTGGGTGTCGAGAATCGAGTATCGATTGGAACCGGGACTAACTTTTCGTTTTTCCCGGAATCGTTCAAAAGTTAAAATTTCGATTCCTAGTTTCGATATTCACAGTCCACCGAGCGGAAGAAGAAACCGCTGAACAACACCAACGAAGAAGCGTCTTCTGGAAGTGTTGGCATAACCGCGCGAGTCGAACATGAGTAGCTTACGTCGGCGGTCCAAAGTGTGGCTTCACTTTTCTAAAAATTAAGGAAATCTCGGCAAAATGCAAAATTTGTGACAAGTATTTGTGACAGAAGGAGTATTTCCATCAGAAAGACCGTTGGTTAGCAAGGTTAGCTAAACTTTTTTGACCCTGCCTCTTAAAAGAATCGGAATCGAGAATCGTTAGGAACCGGAATCGAAACAAGGAATCGGAATCAGAATCGTTCAAATTCAAACGATACCCAACTCTACATATAATCACATAATTTTGGACCCCTACAAGCAAGCAGCATTTACTGTGCAGTAACAGAAGACTCATGATCACCTGAGACTCCAGTGTGGCAAATCCAGTCCTGAGATCCTGAAGACCATCTTTCCATTTTTGCTGCTGACGCAAGAGATCCACTCCCATCAGACACACCACCTATAAAACACACACACACACACAAAGCTAAAGCCAGTCAGCCAGCTCTTCAATGTTCATGTGTGCCTTGATGCTGGAGGAAAAAGAGATCACCTTGTCAGAGAATTCGGTGTGCCACTTCCTGAGTTTGCGGTTCTCCGTGGAGAGTCTCTCAGCGGCGCTCTGCAGTTTACTGATGTACTGCTCCAGCTCTTTAGGATTCTCCCATGTGATCTGGAGTTTTCCGCCTTCGCCGTGAGATTGAGAACGTGGGTTCTGTTGTACAGCAAACAGAAAGAAGTGACCAGTTTATGATCAGTCCCTCCAGGATTTCACGATTTTTTTTTGTGATTTTTGCGATCAAAATGACTGATTTTGTGGTGGTAATTTCCCAAAATTTGTGAAAAAATTTGCGATTTATATATAACATTTACCATAATAGTATTCAGTCCTTCCAGAAAAACGCGGAATTTTTTTGTGATTGTTGTGGGCAAAAAATTGATTGATTATGCGGCCCGTTTTCTTTAAAAATGCAATGGAATATGTGGGATATTTATGCAATTTTATGCGATGAAATTGCAGGAGTTTGCAAAAATTGAGGGAACTTGCAAAAATTGCGGTTTGATGAAAAAGAGAAAAAAAGTGATTCCCCCAACATCCTGTTCTCACTCGGCTAATGTAAGAGTCATTTCTTATTACTTCCTTTGATAAGCAAGCATACTACATCATAGAAAGTGCTGGGAATATTTAATTTCTCATCTTGTTTTATTTCAGACTGTAACGAGTGTAAATAAGGTGTGGCCCCTTTAAGAGCTCAGCGCTCCCTGTTGAACTCTCTGCAGTGTTATATTATATGTGCGCCTCGAACACCCCATGTGTGCGGGTAATTTCTGTTTGATGCTACTACTTTTATCGTATGTTGTTTATTAAGTAACGATGTGACGGTAGAACGTGTGACAGACAGTTATACGAGTTCGATTTGTGAGATGTCAATCGCCTCCGTGAGTCTGTCTGGCGTCGCGTAATTGCGTCACTTCATAACGTTCCCATGGCAACAGGGGGAAATGGCTGCTCTTGTGTGAAGCAAACGCAACATTTTTCAACTTTCTGCTAAGATACATGTGACTTTTTTTTGCAACGAAAATGCGATTATGAAATTATGCAAACCCCGCATATTTTGCACGGAAATCTGCAATTTATGCGGCGAAAGTGCGGCGTATTTGAAAAAATGCGGCCCCCGCATAAATATGCGGACTTTGGCTGATTTTGCATTGAATTCAGCGATCGCATAATCGCGTTTTTCTGGAGGGACTGTATGATACTCAAAACCTTGCCAGTACTCATTTATCATGCAAAATACAAGTTTGGGGTCAGTAAGAATTAGGGTTGGGAATAAAAATCTATTCCAATTCTGGAATCGGATCCTTAAAGTCAGGAATCGGATACGTGATGTGTTTTCCAAAGCGTGTGCACAGAAAGCCGACACAAAATATCAAAAAGTTATGTCTTAAATGAAAGTAAACAGTTGCTTGTGTAACATGATAATGGATGGGTGCATTAGTCTAAAACTTTTGTAACTATATTTGTAATGTACATTTTATTTATAAAGTGCAGTGTTATGTTATTTCACATTTGATTACAGTTTCTGTACCTGAATATCTGACAATCTAAAAACACTGTTTAATTCAATCCAGTTGTATTTTTGATTGCTAATTTGTTTAATTGTCTTTAATAATGCTTGAAATGTCTCTTAGTTAGGCTAGTTGTATTTGCTGTGGTATTTTTAAACCATAGGCATAAGTTCCTTGAGCAAGTGTTCTTTAGCCCGTCTGATTTTTGTTCATGGTATTCAGCCAAAATGACATGTTTTTCAATAAGACTTTTTTTTATTGGAATTGAAATTAGGAATTGATAAGCAGAATCGGTATCAGAGTCATTAAAATTCAACCAATACCCAACCCTAGTAACAATTTAGTGATTACCTTGATGACCTGCTCAAAGGCCAGAGCACAGCCGAGCATCATGGGTCGTTGAGAAGGGATCATCTGCTGATCGATGGTGTTGTAGAAATGAGCCACCTGTTAAATACACAAAGACAAGTCTACATACAACACAATATTTGACCTAAGAATCCAGTATGGGGGAAGCTACACTACAAGCAAATAAAAATGTAAACAGTCAACCTACTAAGAGTAGCTTGCTGCAATTAAACTATGTAAGAGGTACTGAATAACTATAAAATTATATAGCTGACTTCAGAGCTGTATTTATCTGGAGCGAATTATATTAAGTGTTGACTCAAATGAATCATTGATTCATTTCAGTGATATGAATGAACTGATTCACCTGATTCACATAAACGAATCTAACTTCCTTTAACATTCTAGAATAAAATCTTGTCTATGAATGTCACTCGTTGGGTTAGTAGTCAGTGTAATGAAAACTCCAGTACGTTTGTATATGTGTGTTCACACACCTGTTTGAGGATGATGGCCTGTCGGTAGAACTTGTCTGCGGTGTTTGCCGCCTGCTGGATCTTAGCAGGGATGGTGAAGCCCAGAGCGGAGAGCTGTCGAACCTCTCTGAGTAAACTCACCAGCCGGTCCGAGTACTGGATCTTCAGTTTACCGTCCATGTGATCCAACTCCATCACACGATTACTGGCCTGCAAACTAGACATAGATAGATAAATATATAAATAGATAGATAAATATGGATGGATGGGTGGGTGGATTA